TATTTTAAGGGGATATAATCTGCAGCTCAGTACTCACTACTCACTACTCATGAGTACTTTTAAATAAGCTGCTCTTTTACTCTTACTCAAGTAGTTTTTTGGACAAGTACTTTTTACTTTACTCACACATTTTTTGGAATGTAGTGGTACTTTTACTTGAGTATATTTTTTTCAGTATTCTTTCCACCACTGCTTATTTGTGAAAGGCAGGAATAAGACAAATCTATATTTTTATGTATTTTTTCTCTTTATGCAATTATGTTTCATTATTTGACAGTTCTCATGTTTATTTGATGTTTATGCATTAGCATTAGTATTCATTATCCCAGCGATTCATCACTGTCAGCAAGCAAATTAGGCACTGCCCCCTTAAGAAATGATGCAGAAACCAGTGGATGTCCAAGCGAAGCAGTTTTGCCAGTAATAAGACCGTCTCTGGTTTTGCTTCTGTCTGATAGTTCACGCTTACATATAATTAGCTGAAGTATTATGAAGGTAGAATGACGTCAAAAAGATTAGCATACGCAGGGTAAGAGTTGTGGAAGTGTACATAAGACTGTAAGCGTAAATTAAATTTGCATGCGCAAGAGAAGCTTTGTAAAGGTGTAAATCGCGTTTCAAGCGCAAGAAAAAAATATTTGCAGCATTTTACTGTTACTCGTAAGTGTAATTCATGTATTGAATGTTAAAAGTACCATTCCGGCAGCAAGAACGATGCAAATTTAATTTACGCTTACAGTCTTATGTACACTTCCACAACTCTTACCCTGCGTATGCTAATCTTTTTGACGTCATTCTACCTTCGTAAGTATGGTAATGCATATTTGGCGTGCTGTCTGGGGAAGGGCTCCGAGCTCGGGCTTTTGATGTCCGCATTCAAGTATTTACGATTGCTGTAGCATTTCTGTCATAAAGAAATAGCCAAATATTCAAGATTAAGTGGACATTTGAATTAAATGTTTAGCCATACAAGGATTAGATTGCACAGTGACATGTAGAAACAATTGTCGGGCCATTGGTGCCCTTTGTAGGCTTTTGGTATAATGTGTATGTACATTATATTGTTTATAATGCATTATGTTAAGTTTTGTTCAACAGAACCATATGGTTACTTACTTTTGATACTTTATTTGGACCAATTATGGCCATTTTTTTTTCTCTTCTTCTAGCAACTAGTTTTCCAAAGCACATAGTAACGAATTTACCCATTAAAAAAAATTTATTTGGCAACTTTTAGTATCTTTAAAAAGTTATTAGATGTTAAAGACATGCATTTTCCTCAACCACCCAAAGAAGAAAGTATTGAAAAGCTAGCCAAGCGGCAAGTCGGCTAGAGACTTGGAGAGAGGTGCCTAGCAATACTCACGTCACATGTGAATTAGGTTGCTAG